GAGTTTTGGGATGGTGCGGTTTTGGTTGCGCCCATGTGTAAGGTATTTGCTTCTAATTTGTTTCCGCGTTCTTTATGGACTTCTCTCATTGGAGTTTTTTCAGCACCGGTTTCTGGTAGGTTTATTTCTTTTTATAATCTTTATTTTGTTCCTATGCAAAAATTGAATTTGGACACCAACAAAAAGATTACACCTTTTCTTAAATTTTTATTATTTTAAAATTAATTTGTTGACCAAATCTCTGTGGTTTGAAGCCCTTTGAATCAGTCCAGGAAAATAGTGTTTAACCTTACCAATCTAGATAAGCCTTCTTCTTTATCGGGTGCTATTTTAGCATATGACATTTCTGTTCAACATTTTTTTTTAATTACAAAACACAATTTTAACTGAGCTTACATCCAACTTTCTTAGCATTGTTTCTTAGTTAGTGTTTGATATGTATGGTTTTTTAATCCTCGACGGATTTTCTCATTGTAACGTATTCTCTTATTAAAGTAAAATATTTTAGATGAAAACTATTTTGTTTTTTGTTGCAAGAAAGGCAAAGCGAAAAATTAGTAGGAGCCTTTCCGACCTTATTATTCTGAATAATTAAACATAGTAGTGTTGTAAAAGTTGTGGAAATGAATGCTTACATATTTTAGCCAAAAATGAAATTTGGGGAAAACTTAAAAATAGTAGCATTGTTGTTGTTGTATGATATTTTTCAAAATGCACTCATTTCATTTTTCATGATTATTCACGGTTATAACTCTATACAAAGGGCATTATGTGTATGATCACAACACACACAAAAGAAAAGAGTGAAAACAATAACACCAATATCCCTTTTCTTCCCCTCTTTTTGTGTTATAGTTACGAAAATAAACAATGTGATACATTGCATCTGTTTCACTCCTGTCTTTAACAAGTATTATCTCTCTTACTTTTGTCTATTTATAATAAGTAGTAGCACCTCCACCTCATCCCAAATTTTCGAATCCACACACCTTTCCAAACTACTTTTGTTTTTTCCTTTGAAATCATTTAGAAATTAAACCCTTTCCTTGAAATGGAGAAATATGTATTATTCTATTTTATCTCCGTCCATACAGAAAATGTGTGGCGGTCTTTCACTTTCAAAATCTCATTATTTTAAAACTAATAATTAATATAATTTAGTTAGTGGACTTTACATTCAACTCCAAATCATGAAAGTTAAACTGAGACGTTTTCTGGTTTTCTCTTATAAAACCATTTTATTTACAGATTGCAGATGAGCTGAGGCCATCCCCATTAGTGATCACTGCTTTGACAAAGCTCTGCAAGTTCATTCCGACCTGGAAAATAATCCCAACAAATGATATTATTGATGTCGCTTTCAAAATGCCCGAAATAAGAAAACAGGTACTTGTATATAATTTTGGGTTCTTTAGATATAGGCTCTTAAAACTCCCATTTTCCAAATAAAAATTCACCTAAATTTAAACATTCAAATAAAACCCAAATTTCAAATAACCTACCATGTAGACAAATATATGACCAACTATTACAATACATTTACAACTTATGCCACAAAATCCTAATTTACTCATCCTAATTATGATGACCAATTAAATCCATATGGATATTTTGCCTTTCTTGTATCATAAATATTAGTAACATATGTAAATTAGTTTACCAAATGAAAAAAAAAAAAAAAAAGACATATCTTTACCGAAAAAATAATATTGTTTGAATCATGTAATTACCTACATACAAATTAATTTACCTACTTATAAAATATTATAGTAATTTACTTGCATTTTGAATCATGTAATTACCTACATACAAATATTATACTAATTTACCTACATTTAAATTAATTTACCTACTTATTAATATTATACTAATTTACCTACATTTAAATTAATTTACCTATTCCAAAAAAAAAAAAAAATAGTGATATTAGATAATGTTCGAATGTTGTGGGTTTGTGCTTGTAGGCAATTAAATAAACTTTTAATCTAATGCACATAAATCATGTAGGTAAATTAGACCCTTTAAATTTTGGTTTGATGGAATAGGTAAATTAGACTATTTTGTAGGTAAAAATTGTGTGGAACATATAGCTTTTGTTTTGTGTATTAGGGATTGGAGTATTAGCTTTACGTTTATTGTTGTGTTGGTAGGTAAATTAACTTATATATTTAATGCACAAAATTATGAAATTAGTATTATTATTTTTCAATTGGCACGTTATAACAATTTGAAAGTTATACATTGAATATACAATGAACAGCATGAATTATTTTGTAAAATATATAAAATTAATTAAATGGATATAACAAGTAACTGATCCAAAAACCTCATCCAAGTATTAATAGGGGTAGTTTAGGCATTCAGAAAATACACAATCTGAAAAGTCAAACTTAATTAAAGAATTTGTTTAGTTGGAGGCTAGTCAATGGGCTTTATTCAAGTAAACAAAAGGGGATGGGTTTTAATAGAGGAGAATATAGTTTCAAGGGGTAATATCAAATTTTCAGTATAATTTTTTATATATAATATATTTTTTCAAATATATATCAACCAAATTAAAAATGCAGGCCATTGCTAATAATTCTAACCTAATCACAGGTTAGAGAAAACCCCTACTGCTACAAAGGCCGGCCTCGTCTCCAAACCGGCTACGAACTTTTGAGGGTCAGTTCCGATCTTGAACAGAGACTCGACGAGGTACAGCACCAAAGTGTAATCTCTTTGGCATTACTGATATACATGACCTTACGTTACGTATAATAATTTGTTTTTTGTTCTTGTCTACTTTGATTAGGTCACGTTGCCGTTCATAGTTCTCCATGGCGAAGACGATAAGGTTACCGATAAATCCGTCAGCAAACAGCTCCATGAGGTAGCCTCCAGCCATGACAAGACGTTGAAGATGTACCCGGATATGTGGCATGGACTGCTCTATGGAGAAACACCTGAAAACATTGAGGTTGTTTTTTCTGATATAATCAGTTGGTTGGATGAGAGGAGTTATTTTGGAAATGCAAGGCTGGAAGGAGAGTTAAAACGTGAAAACGACGATTTACCCCAAGTAAAAAAGTAAATCAACGAGATAGATGCAAGGGAGGAGATGGCTGGATATTATTAGTTAATTGTCTGTTTTTTTGTAAATTCAAATACGCTTCAGTTGTAATATTCATTATACAGAAGAACAAAAAGTTATGACAAAAGTAGCTTCAAGCCTTCAACTCCGTACGCATATAAGTTTAATTGCAGAGAACATAAATGGTAACCATTTGGTGAGTTCCAAACGTTTACTAAATAGGTGGTACCTTTTTTTTTTTTTTTTTTTTTTGGAAGTTTTAACAAAACACTCAATGTACTATTCATTTTAACGAAAAATGACATTTTTACTCTAAAAAGTCACTCCTGGTACTATTCACTTACAACACATTTATATTAAAACTCAAAGTTTTCAAACCTTTTTCATTAGTTTTTTTTTTTTTTTTTTTTTTTTTTTTTTTGACAAAGAACAAGCAAATTCATTGAATGAGAAAGGCTCAGTACAAATACAACAAACTAGCCCAATAAAGTGGAGATAGCCAAAGCCCATTCAACCAAAAAGCAGACATAACAAAAACCCAGAACCGCAACTAGCAAATGTTGATCGCCACCGATGTCATCACCTTGCCAACGACCACAGAGGTAATCGCCCGAAGAAAACCAACTCCGCGTTGAATTCAACTAAGGAATCGCACCACAAAACAACCAGCAACAAAGAAAACCCCCAACCAAAATTCGCCACCAAAACAAGCCCCTGCAAGTAGAACCAAAACCAAAACAAAAGGGAAGGGGATGGGGCTAAAGGGGCATCTAAAACACCCTCGCTTTGGGCAAAACTACAGCTCGCTTGGCCCCGAATTTATGGTATGCCGGTTGGGTGCAGAGACGTGAACTGAAGGCTAAGCTATGCTGACCAAACCAAGTACGTTGCCCTTGGCTTTGAACAGAGGTTGTGGGAGGGATGGCAAGTGGGAAGGAGGAAATGATCAAGATGGAAGATGATGAATGTTTGCGGGGTGGGGGTTGAAGGCTAGGAATTGGGTTTGTCAAGATATAAAAGATGGTAATAAACACTGAAATACAGCGAAGAATGTCGAAAATTAGTGAAGAACGCTAGGAAAACTACAAAAGTGCACAAGCATAATTAAAATAAAAGAAAAAGAGAAGAGGGGAAAGGGGTTGCCAGCCAACCCCAACCCAAGGAAGGAGTCGGCAGCGCTGAAGACTAGTTGGTGACTTACTCTCTGCAAGAGAGAAAAGGGAGATAGCGGCTAGGTTTTTGTTTTTTAATAGGTGATGCTATTCACTCTTTTTTACATATTATACATCTATATTAATTTTCGGCCTTCAGATCAAATGAATTGAAATAGATCAATTGACAGTAATTAACAGATGATGTATAGAAGGTAAAAATGACTATAAAATATAAGTATGAGAATCATTTCACTTTTTTATCTGTGTTTACCAACACATCACATAGAATAAAAAAAAGGTGTACATTTTATCTTGAAATTCATAATTAAACACCTAAAAATAAACAATCAAGTCACAATTGATTCCATTCCCCTTGCTCCTTGCTCTTATATCTAAGTTCTTTGATTCTTTCGTTTCCATTTACGGTAAGTAAACACATTTCACTTTCTATTTCTACGTTTTTTTTTTAAACCTCAACAGTACCATAAAATTTTAGGGGTGTGTTATCCAGACACTTTTTTTTGCTTCTTACACACCTCTTGTTAATTTATATTCGTTGATCTTCTTCAATTCATCCGATCTGACAGTCGAAAACTAAAAAGGTGTGGGAAAAGTAAAAAAAGATGTGTAGATATCACACCTCAAATTTTATTGATATGAAAATAAAAAGTATTGAAATTATCTCAACACCCATGTTTTAGTAAACGCAAGGGATGACTCTTGAATTCTAATTCCATGCAAGTAAACATGACTTTTCAGCGATGCAAATAGACTAGATGAATTCCAAAACCATAAACATATGGAGCAAACAAAAAAAAAAAAACCAACCATACATAATTCAGTGCAAGATTTCATAGAGGGTTACAGAGAAAAATACATATCTTGCTAACATTGTTCAACAGAGGATGAACCACAAAAAGGGGGAAACATTAATCTATAATTACTAATTACAACAACAGGTAACGCGGTCTAAAAGGTGCAAAGATGCATGCTGCTTCTTCCGATACACTTCGATTTAGTCTCAAGTCTCAACCATCTGCGTCTCAATTTTATCGAAACAGAAACATTCGCTCACTCCAGCAACGTCAGGAAAAGAAAATCGCAAGCATGCTTGCCCTGTTAGTGTAACTACAGTCATCATCGATCCCAGCAAAATGACACTGCGATAAACTACAGATGAACAAAATTCTAAGTTGTATCGTGTATTCATCCACTTCCAACCTTTTGACCAACACAGTGATGTTATGAGATGAATGCATGCTAAAACCAAATGGTGTGGTAAAACCAGGAAGGAACTTTTGAGCTTGTTCTTAAATGATCTTGTTTCGAATTTCCTCGAGTTTCTTCAGTATCTCTCCAGGAGTTCTATCCAACTCATCCGCAATTTTTCTCTGCAGATCCATGGGCAATGTTGGGAACTGCTCACACAGATCTCCATCAATCACATCCTGAAAAATTAGTAACAGAAATTTTAAGCTTTCTAACCTGGTCGTATTAAAAAACAAAGAACAATAAAATAGAAAGAAAAAATAAACCTATATTTTACAGTTGAATTACCTTGACTGGGAAATATGCTGATCTATAAGCCATGTGATCTCTACCACACAAAGGTGGATGCTCCTGCCTCATATACATCTCCAAGTGAGAAAAGAAGTCAACGTCATCACGGGAGGTGAACGCAAGTAATGAACCCAAGCTACCCATCACTGTTCCATAGATGATGCACTCCCCACCACCTGGAATTAGAGATGCCTTCTGCAAGCAGCTGACGACATCACCAACATGATACTGCACTATCTCCTCTACTTTGTTGGGAGCGCCATTCAACCTTCCCTGCTCCCATTTTATCCTCCCACCCGTTGGATCTTCTTCTATCTCATCTGAAACATCCTGTGGTAACCGCACAAAATAGACATTCCCAAACTTGTCCGCACCTGCCATGGTGTCAAAATCTATATGGAAGGATGCTGTAAGCCATCTTGGTACACAATCATCAGCAAAGATGTACAACTGATTCTCATCCCGCCTATACTTGCAGTAGTGGAATGACTGCCAAAGAAATTAACACCATAGGAAATATAGTTAGTCCCCTTATAGTGAACAAAGAACGGCAAGCAAGAAGAACAAGAACATGTACTTCAAACAGAAATCCACCACACAAAAAAGCACCTCACATCCAGTATGCAGAAAGCTGATATTGGGATATAACTACAGAATAAATACTACGCAATGGATGCATTACATATTACAGTAACTACGAACCCAATATACATCAGGACACTATATATGACATGTCATTGCAATTTGTACGAGGAGATATTCTAGTCTAAATTTCAACTATTTGACCCTTCCAGAAGAATGCCTTAACCAAAAAATAAAAAACCAAGCATGTATCTACTTATTTGGCCTATATAATCCAAGGTCAAAAAACTTGGTATTTTAAATGAACAATAGGATATCAGTGTACCAAAGAAAAACAATGTAAGCGTGGGAAGATACCACAGAACAGGAGCCAGGAGGCCCAATCAAATAACAAATAGATGAACGAAGACATACCTCTTGAATGTCACCTACATAAATCCGATCGCGATAGGTCTGGATTGATACAATTGTGCTGGGAAACAGCTTATTCTCACACTTCCTGAGCAACCTTTTCTTCCCCAAATCATAGAGTCTGAGCACTGGTCCAATCCCAGCTAGTAACCTTCCTTGAAACTGGCACAAGGCAAGAGGAACACCATCCACTTGTGTCTTGTGCAAAAGTTCGAGGGACTTGCCATCATCTATAAATCTATATATGTGAATATAGCCTGCTGTTACACTCTTTTTTGGCCAAAACTGCAGTCCTTTCGCTGTGCCAACAGCTAAAAGTGTACCATACTCCTTGTCATGGAAATTCACTGTACAAATACTGAATGCAGCTTCACTATCCTGAAGCTCCAGCAGACATGTTGTAGTTGCTGTCTTGGGGTCAAGAACTCTAATGCAAGACACCCACTTGTCAGACTCTGCCTTAGGATACCCATAGTGCTCATCAGATAAGGGATCCTCCTCATCGCCACCATTTTCCATCTGCTCTACATTACCATTTCCATTTTCACCTAAACCCACAGCCTCAAAACACTCCTTTTTTGCAGCTTCACGCTCTTCTGCTGTGAATGCTCCTTGATCACTTTCAATAATTACCAAAAGCTTTCGTTTGAGTTGAACAATAAACTTTCTAGGGGTATACCTCAGTGGAATCACAGTTTCATTAAATGTTTCTCCCAATCTTTCAATAGTAAATACCCTCAAAGCATTTCCAGCAACAGAAACTACACCTTCCGAACATTGATCGGATGAAAATGAGGCAGCATATTCAAGGGTCTCATACGATAGTGGTGTTAAGAGAAAATGTCCTTGATGGATATAACCAAGCCAGGGCCGACTTGACAAGCAAAGCATAGCATGCTTGCCTCTCACACTAATAGAAAATAGCTTTGGTGCTCTTAGTCCCAAGAATCGAGAACGGGAATCAGAGAGCTGACCTGTGACCATATCCACCACAGTTCTGAATAAAATCCCAGAGCGTAAGCCAGCATTAAGGAAAAGGTTAGCAGGATGATCAGCACCATCCTCCCCACCAATTGAGGCCTGAACCTCAAGAAAGAGGAGAGATTCTGGAACTCCAGAAAGACTTTGCACACTAAGAATTTGCATACAGTCATCAGGATCCAATGACAAAATACGAATGACGCTGTCATATGAACCAACTGCAAGGAAACGAGATCTCTGTCTCCCTTCAGGTACCGGGGAAATGTCTAGACAAGCTACATCTCCAGACATTTCATGCTTCTCCACCTCCATTAACTGACCCGTCATATCAACCTCAAAATATATAAGTTCTCCTCCGCTCAGTGCAATAACTACTTGAAGTCTATTAGAGCCAACCTTTACAATCGTCCTCTTTCCAGGAGTTCTCCATTCATTAATACGTCCATCTTCCCTAATATGCCTAATTCCATTTGGGTGCACTTGCATTAGAGAATCATCACCTATCAAAGAAACTGCAAGTGATGGGGTAGTGTCAAGAAACCCACTGTCACTAACTTCTTCAACTGTCTCACCAATTGAAAGCACAAGAGTAGCATTTGCAAATGACACCACAATGTATGCATCAAATTCATCAGACACATTCTTCTTCACAGTCCAGACCGCACTCGGTACACCAGGAAGCTCTGACACAGCCATCTCACTGATAGCTAAACCAGGTCTTAATATCCTGAGGGATGAACGAGGACCCCGCCCACAAAGTGTAAATATTTGAGGTGTTTCTTCCTCAAATAGATTATTGACCTTCATATCCATTATCGGCATCAAGCTCTCAACTTGATCAATCCTAACAAGGTTCTTAAGTTTTCTGGGCTGGAAAAACAAAGGCTGGAAACCTTCTTCCGTTTCCATCAATGTAGCTGATGAAGACTCCACGTCAGGCTCTTCTCCTATTGCCTGGAACTGGTACAAAGAGTGATTCCCAAACTCTGACGCAGCAAACAAAAACCCAGATTTTAACACACACATTGAAGTTGTAACTGGAATTGTATCAAAATACTTGATTTTTAATTCTGAGACCTTATCGTTATCATGATCCAGAGTAACCTTAAATATATCTCCATACTCTGTCTGCAAAAGAAAAAAGAACATTGACTTCTGCTTGTGCATAGCTGCTGAAACTATAAGAACCCCACGCTCTGCAGGCAAATCCACACGCCTAGGAATCACAGCCCTGAGATCCGGTTTATCCTGGTTCTTATAAATCACAAAATTCTCCGCACAGACCAATACACCGCTTGGACCATCCCCACCTCCAGGAACCGTGACCAGCATATTTGCACCATTATCAACCTGATCCGACCACTTCCTCGATACATGATTGAGCCCAAGATCAAGCTCATAGAAAGTCAAATGCTTCTGCGCCTCGTTCGCCGCCTGCCCAGTAGAGTCCTGATCAGCTTCCGCATAATCCAACTCAATGGCAGCAAACATGGGATTATCAAACCCACAATCAACCCCACAAATCGAATACACAATTGTATGCGACTTGTGCGCCTCCAAGGGCGACGAAATTGTCAACCTAGCAGAAGTATCCCTATTCAAAACGTAAACAAGCTTCTGCTTCTCACATGCCCCAACCATAACAGCCCTACCCTTAGGATCAATAGCCAAATACTGACCCGGAACTATCCTCCGACAACCCGATTTCCCGAAAGTCTCCTGGTGAATCTTATCAAACACATTCTTCTCCTTATTATACTCAAGAATCACAATCCGACCCGAATCGGACCCGACAACAATATAGTCCTTCTGAGACCCAGTGAGCCTAAACTGAGCTAACGACCTAATTGCGCCGAAAATTTCAACAGAGAGGAGAGTCTGGATCTTACCATTTTCGTCGGGGCGGAGAAGGTCGAGAACTTTGCCGCGGGCGACTACGATCTCCTGGGCCTTGCCGCCGGAGAAGTTGCCGTTGATGGCGCAGACTATGCCGGTGGCGCGCTGGAGAGTGAGGCTGTAGAGGTACATGGCATGGAAATTTGGAGCTGCCGGAAAAAGCTAGGGTTTTGGGAGGACGGTGAAGTGGGGAGTGTTGGGACCTCGCAAGGTTTAGGTCCGTTTAGGGTTTTGAAAACTCAAGTAAGAGAGAGGCTGAAACTTCGTTAGAAATCGGGGATGTGTTTATAATTAAATAAACCTAATTGCACCTATAGTCCCCTTATTTATTGATATTTTCACTTTCATCAAAGTTATTTTTTTGTTTCAATTTAGTCCTTGTAGTTTCATTTGGTTAGCAACTTTAGCCCAATCTATTAATGTAATTAGAGCGATTGCAACTCTCTTTTTTGGCTTTTTAGCCAAAATAGTCATTGAGATTTACATAACTTTTCACTTTGATTTTTGAGATTTGAAATCAATAGAGTTGGTCCCTGAGTTTGTACACAATCAATCATTTTGGTCCTTGGATAAAACATTATGTTAAATAAGGATGAAAATGACAAAATTAACCTCAAGGGCTAAAATGATTGATTGTGGACAAATTTAGAGATCAATTATTTTGATTTCAAATCTCAATGACCAAAATGAGAAGTTATGCAACTCTCATTGACCATTTTAGTTAAAAAAACCCTCTTTTTTTAGAAGTAAAATTAAGGACAAATTGCGCACTCTTTCGTCATGAGTAGCATGTAATAACTAACATTTTGCTACAAGATACTCGAAATGAACATATTTTACTTACAAATCACCAAATTTTGTACTCTCGTCGAAGATAGCATGTAACAGTTTATTTCGATCAAGTGCCATTTCCTACAAGATACTCGCAATAAACATATTTTACTTTCAAATTACCATATTGATGTTATGTAGGCCACTAATTTTCTCGGAGTATGATTCTCCCATTCAAATACCCTTATCTTCAATCCCCTCCTCTTTCACTTTCCTCATTTTCTCTCTATAAAGAAGTCAACACTAAATATTGACGTGACTTAATCATGACCGTTCAAATAGGAGGGGATTGGAAGAGAAGAATTTGGAGAGGAGATAATCCTACTCCAATTTCTCACTACACCAAATTGAGAGGAATTGGATTGAAGAGGAATTGAAATGAGGTGGAATCATAATCAGATTCCTGTTGAAGTTATTTACTAAAACTGCCTGGAATCGGAGTAGGAATGATGTTAAGTCTATATAAGTTGTTTACTAATTCACTTCAATCAAAATGAAACTAGGTTGATTACTATATTGCCCTTATATAAATAAATTATTTTCATACTAATTAATTAAATTAAATTCTTAATAAAATTTATATAATAAAATTCATTTATATAAAAATATAAAAATAGGTTTTATTTATTTATTAAAAGATGACATGAATGATATTGAGTCCATATATGTTGTTTACTAATTCACTTCAATCGGAATGAAAACTAGGTTGCTTACCAAATTGCCCTTACATAAATAAATTATTTTCATACTAATTAATTAAATTAAATTCTTAATTAAATTTATATAATAAAATTCATCTATATAAAAATATATAAATAGGTTTTATTTATTTATTAAAAGATGGCATAATAAGTGTCAAATAAAGGGCAATGTTGGTATAATAAGAAACAAGTTAAAGCATAATTGGTAAAAGAAATCCATTCCGAATTCCTCAAGTGTCAAGGAACCTCCTTCATGTAGGGAGTTCAATTCCTCCAAAATTAGGAGTCGGATTCCTTAATGTGTGTGGACCTCGTATGTATTTTGATTCTCCAAGATTACGTAAATAAAGGTGTATACCGTAATTGGAATCCAATTTCGTAAATTGATCCGATTACAGGTACGTAAACATGCCACTAGAGGTGATTACGAACTCGTTACAAATGATAATTGCACTTAAAAGTTTAGTAAGCGCAAAAGGATGGATTGCTCTGGCAATAAGAGCTTTTCTCTTTAATCAACTGTATTTCGGTTCAATTCCTCCTTTTAGTATAGATTAGTTCATAATTGCTTAAAGAAGGTTAAAGTAAGAGCTTGTCTTAATTGTCTGAATATATTAAGATCCACAACTAACCATTACCAATGCAACCACCCCATGTAGCCAAATCCACTCATCACCTCTTCCTCTTATACATGACAAATAAACTACAAACGAAGTAGCTACACACATAATATGTAGAATGAAAATGGCCAAGCACCTTTCCTTCCTAGCCATGTCCTTATTAATCCTCCTACTCACCACCGCCACGATCCACCCGTCCACCGCCGCTCGAAGCCTCGGCAGTTCAACCCCAACACACCCTCACAACCACCACAAAATCACATTCCTAATGAGAAATGTTCTCAATGTAACCCACCCCTCATCATCCATGTCCAAACCTTCAACCACTAAAGTGACTAGCCAGCTTCCCTTCTCAAAACCAATAGGCCTGCTTCCTCCCAACGGAGGAGTCCCCCTCCCTGAAACAATCCCCGCCACACAAACCCTAGATTTATCCGGTGTCGGACTATTTTTTCCTGCAAGGGCTACACTCCAAGAACTGGAACTTGGGATTGTAACCCTGATTGACGAGGACATCTTTGAAAGCTCAGGGTATTATGGTCCACAAATCATTGGAAAAGCACAAGGGATTTTTGTTGCAAGTTCTGAAGATGGGAGCAGTCACATGATGGCAATGGCTGTACATTTCGCCAATAGCAGATTTAAGGACGGGTTAAGATTTTTTGGGGTGCACCGGGCGGACGTGGATGAGCGGGACGGGTCTCATGTTGCTGTCATTGGTGGGATTGGGAAGTATGAGGGTGCAAATGGCTATGCAACTGTTAGTACAGTAAATAATGCAGGGTCTAATTCTATTTGGGAAGAAGAAAACAAGCTTCTTAGGCTCAATATTTACCTCAGCTAGTAGCTTGAAACCTTGTTATGTCGAAACGTCAAAATTATGTGTTTTAGGGCCACTATCTCGTTGCCGCATATGCCTCCAAAATCTTAAGACCGGCCCGGCTTATTATGTATAAGATCCTGCTTGAGGGGCAGTTAATTTTCATCTTTCTTTTTTAAAAAGAACTATATAATTGTAGATTTCTGATTTATTACGATTTTATATTCCAAATTACAAAGAGGATGATAATATACAACTATTTTTCCAATGAATAATTTATAAACTTCATTTTGGTGGATGAAAAAGGTGGAGCAGATTGAAACACAAATCTGGAATAATAGCTAGAAACCATCATTACTGAACTTATTTTTAAGTTCAATTATGTCGAAACGTCACACGAAAACATGCTACCGATGGATTTCTGCAGTTTTCTGTTCAAGTATGATCAACCTGAGGACTAAATCTAATGACCCCAGTTTTCCAATTTTCGAACAGCTTTGTAGAAATCGAAAGAACAGAGAACTGGGTTAATATAACTCCACTTCACAGAACTTGACCAATTGTTGTACCCTAATGAACTTGATGCGGTCCTTGTCCCCCAAGGAATCATCAAATTTTACCACATCTATCACATTTCATTTTAATTTCTCCTCTTCAAACTGGGAATAATGGTGAGTTATTTGACCCCAAGTAATTGAAATAGAAGAGGATCAAGTATGTCCGACCCCTTACTCGAAAGTATGTTTTTTCATTTGAAGTATATCTTCTTTTATTTATTACTCATCCGTCATAAAAAAGATATATCTCCGATTGTAGGGCAGATTCTCTTCACGACACAGATACATTGTAACATGAAATTATACACATGTACATTGTGACATGAAATTATACGTTTAAGTGGTTACAGTAGTTATTTAGTAATTGGGTGTGATGTGGTTATACTTACTCAAAATTGCCTCAGGTTAAATCTCCTAAAGGTTAAATCAAAATTCCAGGCTGAGATGGGCAGCACCTAATATGCACATATACCAGCACCATCTTAACTACCAAAAAATGGCACCAATTCCATTTGATGAAGGGAGTTGGTTTTTCAACCAAAAACATCCTGCTAAGGAAAAAGGGTGCACCAACTCCATCTCTTCCTACAACTCCAATACAAACTATAAATAACAACACAAATCTTTTCATTTCTCAGACACAAGTCACAACTTACTTAAGTCAAAGATTCAATACAAAACCCTTCATTTCTTCACAATCTCACAACCCAAAAATGGCAGAGTCCCTCAAATCGCTCAAGGCCACACTCTACATCTTGTTCCTAGCCATCACCCTTGGATTTGCCGGCTCAGCTAGGATCCTCGACGAGGTGCAACCCGAAGCATCCAATCCTCTTCCGACAACTGTCCCTACCACGAACCCTCTGCCAAGTGGCCATATCCCTATCATCACCCCCGCCACCACAACTGCTGATGACAATGTCGACGTTGCTGACGCACCAATCCCTGAGACTGACGCCCCGCCAGAAGCTGACGTGGTGCCTCCTGTAGTCCCTCCTGTCACAACCATCCCACAAGCTAACTCACCACTACCAGAGACACACGACGAACCTGCCATAGTGCCAACACCGGTTGCTAATGTGGCACCCGTAGCAACACCTGCCGTTCCAGTCACCACACCCGTGGCAGGTCCTGTCACCACATCGCTAACCGGGCCCACCGCAACCACCGCGGCCGCCAGAAAGGAAACCCCGCATTTGTCCTTTTTCATGCACGACATCCTAGGAGGATCCCACCCATCAGTCAGAGTGGTGACCGGCCTCATCGCCAACACAGTCCTCAACCCCGCCGCATTCTCCAAACCCAACAACAACATCTTCCCCGTCAGCGGTGGAACCCCCCTAACCAACAACAACATCAATGGCTTCCTCAACAACAACAACATCCCCAACATCGCCGGTCTCAGTGGCCTGACCAACTCCCAATCCAGCACGGTCATCCAGAACAGCGGCAACAACAACATCGTCAACGGCGGCAGCAACCAGCCCTTCGTCACTGCCGGCCAGCTCCCCAACGGAGCCACCCTCCAGAAGCTCATGTTCGGCTCGGTGACCGTGATCGACGACGACCTGACCGAAGGACACGAGCTCGGGTCTGCCGTGCTCGGCAAGGCACAGGGTTTTTACATGGCTAGCTCGCTGGACGGGAACAGCCACACCATGGCTTTTACTGTGTTGCTGCACGCAGGTGAACATGATGTGGAGGACACCATTAGCCTCTTTGGGGTCCACCGTACAGCGTCTCCGGTGTCCCACATTGCTGTGATTGGTGGGACTGGGAAGTACGAGAATGCGAACGGGTACGCCGCCATAGAGAGCCTGCACCAGGTGGACCAGCACACGACTGATGGGGTGGATACCATTATGCAGATCAGCGTTTACCTTTCTTAATAGAAAGTGTTGGTATGTTTTTATTTCCCAGTTAGGGTTGTGAGATGCTTCACAATTTCAATGTGCATTTGATGTATTTTCTATGTGTGTCTTTTAATTGAATGAAAAATGAAAACTTCGTTATTAAAATGTTTGATCAGACTCGTTTCTTGTTCTTTTATTTGAGCGATATTCTACTTTAATTTAATCTAAACTAATGAGAAAGCATATCCGCTCTAGCCAAAGCGACTACCCCAGATACAGATTTGTTTTTTGTTCAACCAAAGAAAATAACCAGCTATTAAGGCAGAGTATCTATGATTCTATATCATCACTTTTTCTCTGCTGTTGCAAACTTCTAAGGTTGAATCAATAGACACCATTATTTTCTCAGTTGATTGATTCAAGTTCATATCGTAATATATTCGTAGCCCATTCCTTCAACTTGTAGGAGTCTCATGTTTTTGACAGATTTCGTAGAATCCAATGTCTAATCGATTAGTTAACATGTCGGTTACCCTTTTCTGAAACGCGGGGAGAAAAAAAATCAATGGCTTATCAGATTATCTATCGAGCAATCAAACAGGTTCAAGATATACCATAGTCCATATTACTACTTGCTAGACCTTTTATGCAGACTTGAGGGCAGTGAAAACTTGTCAATATGTAACATTTGTTCCTTACCAATATTTGCACCAGTTGAATTAAAAGTGAAATGCCAAAATTGTGCTGGTTTAGAAAGTAAAGTTTTATGCAATGACGACTTACGATTGCCTTAAATGGATCAGCTTTTCTGCATTTTTCAACAAGATAGCGAATGGGAGCAGACTTGTCCATAGAAATTACATACACCACTCAACCCAATCAGGTGCCTAACAGTATCTATGTAAGACGAGTTGTTTCTCAATTCTTAGATGGTAGTTATAACTTGTTTGATGGGAGAAATTGATCGGCAATGAATTACAGATCAGGTGCTCCAAGCCAGGAAAAACCCTACAAAGATAACAAATAATTGGAGATTATAGACCGTGCTAATCAGTTCTCCGTTTTGATAACAATATGCACCATTGTAGTAACGTTTGTAGGAGATACTGTATGCTCTTACTCTCCTAGAACAATTACTCAGATTGTATACGCATATCACTCATATGGACTGATTTTGCACTCCACGTGAACTGATTTTCCATTCGAAAAGAAGTTAGGATATAAACTTGCAATCGTGTGTTAGGTTAAGAAGTTTCAATTTGCGCACTGTTACTGAAAATAAATTGTAACCATTTCATTTCTCTAAAATAACGAGCAATAGAATACAAACAAATCTTTCTTCAAAAAGCCAAAAGCCTGCATCAGCAAACTTAATCACTCTTTCTGCAGACCTTGCAAACAAACTTGAAACACAAATGCTCTCACTCACACGTACAATCAGTAAGTGACATAAACAGTGAACTCCAACAGCGTCTCTGCCCCATCAGTTTGCTGATTGGAAGCCGGGAAGGTCTTAACCAACGCAAAACCTTTAGCATTGACATACTTTCCGGTGCCACCCATAATGGCCAAGTGAGACTCTGGCTGTACGGTGAACCCCAAAGAAGCTAAGAGTGTCAGTGTAACTCCCACTTTGGAACATAGCAGTGAAAGCCATAGTCTGACTAGTACCGTCCTCAGAGCTCACTACATAAAAACCTTGTGCCTTGCCAACCAAGCCAGAGCTAAGCTCATGCTCTTCAGTCAACTCGTCATCAAACACGCTCATTGTTCCGAACATGAGATTCTGGAGCGCGGAGGAGCCTGGCAGGAGCTGCCCACCATTTATCGGAAAGTTTCCAAACCCACCACTATTTCTGTTGTTGTTTTGTCCAACGTTTGGTGTTGTTCCACTAAGCCCTGTGAGAAATGGGATGTTATTGTTGTTTATGAGACCGCCGTTGTTGTTGTTCTGGGGTACTCCGTTGTTGAATGGTAGAACTGCCCCGTTGGGCTTGGCAAATGGGACTTGACCGTTGACTGCAGGGTTGTTGACTATCCCTGTCATGGCTCGGGCAGTGGGGTTTGATCCTCCGAGGATGTCGTGCACAAAGAAGATCAAGGCAGGGTGGTCGGCAGCATTTGCAATTGTTGCAGTACTAGTAGCTGCTGCAGGTGTAGCTAGTGCAGCATTTGTGACAGGTGTATCAAACATGTCGGACACCATTGGGGGAACTACTGGAACTTGTGGCTCGTCCTCCAGAATTCGTGCTGAAGCAGCAGAGAAAATGGTGAGAGTAAGAAATAGGAGGTCGGCAGTGGCCTTGGCAGAGAGAGAAAATTTTGTGAGCTTCCATGTTATTTGAGAGGGGAATAAAATATGGGAGTCGAAATTGTTTTTCTTTCGGGTCTCGATTCAAGGATTGAAGGGATGTTTGTGTCTGTGTGGAGGTGGTGTATGTACAGATTGAGCTTCTGAAAGGAGTTGTTCAAATGGAGTTAGTGCTAATCTTTCCTAGTAAGTGTTTTGGTTAGGCTGCTAAAGTAAAGTATGACTCCAAAAGAGGAAGGATTTGGATAAGGCCACAGAGGTTTAGGTCACCTAACAAAAGATCCTAGCCTTCACAAGGCTCGGATTATCGTTTGATATTTCCAGGAAATCGGCTTCTAATGTCGATTCTTAAAGGAGGATGAACAAGTACTCCTCGGACTTTCATGAAGTCGTCTATAATTATATACAGAGCTATCAGTATGATCATCAAATTCTTCCACACAAAATCACAATGTACTACGATTTTGTTTGTGTCCTTACGCTTCCTTCCTGGTTTTCGTTTAACGATTCCACGATTCCATCCCTCTAAAAACAAATGCAATTAGAGGGAAAACATCAAATTCCAACACATCTGAATTTCATTTGTCATGTATAAAAATTGAGTCTATACATATATCATTTGCAAACCCTATCACTTGATCAAAACTGTGGCCACATCTACATAAAAGTACCTTTGTCTAACCAGTTCACAAAATTACTCTACCAAGACAACAATCACTAGTTTCTTACAAACTCTCCAAGCTAACAAACTCTGCTACGAGCTTATCGAACAAAAATCTCTCAATTTCTCTACCAATACCATCAATATCATCTCCTAAATCTAACTCAATCTCCCTTCCTAGCACCTTTTCGGTGGAGTCCCTTCCTGTTTCCTTCTCTTGGCTAACAAGCAACATCCACAGATCTTCCTCTATCATTTCCTCGCTTGACGTGGATCTAATCCTTCTAGACACGGGCTTTGTCCACATGGGAACACCCAGACAAGGCTCGAAAATCTCCATCAGCCCTGCATTTATACGGTCAAACAAAAGCCCCCTGTCCGACCTTTTCCATGAAGCCTGATTGCCAAACTTCTTCTCCAGGGTCTCAAATACAGAAATGCTTACTGGCCATTCTGGAGGGCACCAGGAACCTAAGTCCATTACCGAGCTCCTAACATAAAAACCTATCTCCGATAACACATTAACAAGGTAGGAATAGTCTCTGCTTTCTTCAACACTGAACAATCTCATTGAATCTTCATTTTCTCTGCAACTGCTTGCAGATCCTTCATTAGTATCACAACCATCATCACTTGAAACAATCATTCCATATCCTTCCGAGTATGTGTCAGAGTGGTCTGATTTCAAAAATGCAAGTTGCACACACAAATTTAGCATGAATAAATTGAAAAAGAAATAATCAAAAGCGTGAACAAAAAATAAAATTGGGTTAATATCTTCAAAATTATAGTCAACTCACCGGTGATGTCAACACTCATACTTTGCAGGAATTCTGGTGTAGGCGATCGCTTTCCACTATATAGTGGTTCCAGAACTGAAACTGGACTAGGCTGATAAGCCTCCTCCAAGCTCGTCATAGAGTCTGACTCTGTGGTGGAGCAGTGCAAAAGAAATGGACTTTCTTTGTAGCATTCGATGGATGTTTCCTGCAGTTCCACAACAATTTAGAAATGTGTCACAGGGTGACATTGCAATGGTAAATCTTGAAATAACATGAATAACCAAGCAACAATTAATACGCGTTTTCACAGTAAACTGATATAAAAATAAACAAACCATATACAGAAAGATTATCCGTCTTCTAAAGAAAGAAACAACAAACCTGCTGAACTGAAGTATCTGTTCCATCACTAGAAGAATCGTCATTTTTGTCTACAAAGATGCATGTTCTGCGTCCAGATTGCCGCTTCTTGAAATTCCAGGGAGTCTTTTCCACGGTTTGAACACCTTTTAATCCTAGGCTAGGATAAGATTGGAGTTTCTTACAGTTGGATCTCAACTTTACAGGGCCGAAGCCATCATTCTGGTTGAATTTGTACTCCCTTGATTTGTGCTGCCCCAAATGAAAAGACCCTTTTGGCTTGAAACTCCATTCATTGCAAAGAGCTGCATATTTATCTTGCTGTGTTCTAAACTTACTGAGGTCTAGGTCTTTCACATCAACCCTTACGAGCTTTCTTTTCGGTTGAAGATGCCTAAAAAGCTTGTGATCCAATGTTCTTGAGCCTGTTTCATGGGCAAACATTGCAAGCGAATTCCCGAGGGTGGCGACTTTACAAGCCATTCCTGATTCTTCCAGCTTATTAGTCATCTTCCGTCGTTCTGAGAGTTGCTTTTTGGCTTCCTGGGATCCATATGACCCATCTGAACAAGAAAAGGAAAACCTTATCGATTCAGTTTTCATTGCAACTGAGTCGCCACCTCTGGATCCTAACTGTGATACCTTTGTTTCAATGTTGGCTTTGTTGCAACTTGTATTTTCAGTTAGCTTCCCCAATATTTCCCTCAAAACTGTAGACCTTAAGCTTACTGGTTCCATGTCAAATGCCAAGTTCTTTCTTTCTTTTACTTCAACATGTATTTTCCCGCTACTAGGACTAGAAAACCCCGCGCACTTTCGATCACTGGAATGAGAAACATCAAGGGAACTCAAAGAAGGGAAACATCTCGCAGAATTCTCATCCTTTCCATGCTTCGGTTTCAAAACAACAATTCTACTACCG